GGTGGCCCTTTTTTGTTTAAAAAAGAAACACAAAAAATGTGTGAGGAAACTCAGGAGCAGTAAAGTTAGGGGTCTGGGAACTACCTAATTAAACCTTGGCCCTACACAGCCCCACAGGAAAGAACTGGCTTTTGGACAAATCTGTTGTAAGACTGTCTGACCAGTAGCACATGAATCATTGAGAGACACGTGAAAAGATGCTGAGCACCAAAGTCAACTGCTGATATGTCGCTGATGTCAGGCTCGAGGCAGCTTGCCAAAAACTGTCTGTTGGCTGTTGATAAAAGCATTATGTATCTCGTAGTATGAATCAGGTTGAAATTACAAGAAAAGAGGTTATTCAGAGGACATACAAAAGTCACTAGAAGTAACAAAAGCTAGCCCGAATTCCTCTTCATGCAGAAATACAGAGTTGAGTACTAACAGGTACTTCAGAAATGTGATCACGTGCAAGCTGTAATGTGTGAGCAGGTACTGGTTTGCATCAGAGATAATAAAAAGCAGCTGCCTGGGAAAGGAGCTGGCCAAACTCCAGAAACAACTCAAGGTCAAACCAGAATTAAAGTCCTTTTTAAAAGGAGAGAGAAATTTGGGAAGCTGGAAAATGGAAGTGTCTGTCCTGCAAAAATCACTCAGCATTAGAATCAGTCCGAAAGATCTCCGTGCAAAAAGAAAGAAAGGAGCTGTTCAAAGTTTACCTCAAATAAGATGCCTTCCCTCCCCTCCCAGCTGTAGATATAAAACCTGGAAAGTACTAGACAGTCACTAGGAGTTTCAGGACGGAATCTGAACATGAGTATCAGTTCTGAGGTGTGAGTTTGTACCTACCTTCTGACTGGCCCATCTGCAAAGACAACTTTGCAACACTGAGATAGGAGCATGAGCTCTGTGGGCTGCCCATACAACTGAAATGTAAAATTTCTGGGAGGTCTGTGATGGACTTGGATGGTTGTAGAAAACTGTTTTCACTGTATGAAGCACTTACAGCATGCTAGGAACCCGATTTTGAATTCCTTATGTTTTATTAACAGATTCATGTAAGGCCACAGCCGGCTTCTTAATGAGAATTGAACAGGCATTATACTGTTTTCCTCCACCAGCCAGTAAGCTTAAATACAATTTCTCAGCTGCCAGCCTTGCCCTGAGATTAGTGAGGGCAGCAATACCGCAGGATGTTTTGACCTTTCCGGGGTAAGGCATGCCATCCACTTGCAAGGCAGAGGAGTGACAGCAGCAGCAGGGCTGCGCCACAGGGGTAGATCCTACAAGCACCTCTGGCAGCTCTTCAGTCAGAAAGGGAAAGTGCTGAGTTGCCTGAACAAGCTGCCTTTAGGGTCAGAGAAGGAGCTAATTTCAGCTATTTCACAGGGAGTCCTGGGCTCTGAACCAAGAGAATGGACTAGTTCTGGTCCAGTCTTTGTGGACTGGTCACTGCCACTTGTACAGCAGCTGAGACCTACCCTTTTGGATAGCCCCTGCATTCCTCCTCTGGCCAGGCAGTGTTATGGGGGTCACAGCTGATGTCCTGTACAGCACACTGTCATCCTTCTGGAAGGGCACTGGATATACATTTACAAAGCAATGTAAAGCTTATATACTGAGTGCGTAATTTCAGCACTGGCAATGCAAAGAAACATAGCTAGAATTGTACAAAGCTGCATAATAATAAAAAAAAAAATCACACGTGGAACTATTTTGTCAAAAATATTCAACGGGGTATTTTAAAGAGCAAAGTAGCTTTTTAAACCCACCCTGTCCCTTTCTGTTCCTCCACAGAGCAGACATCTTAAGGCTCCTGTACCGATTTAAGGAAGCTTAACCCAGATATGGCTGTCCTGTCACTGGGCAGCACAGGCAGCCACGCAGCTGTAACCCGAGGGACAAAACCAACATCGCTGTAGTTAATGATGAGGAGAAGCCCTGAGGGGCCAGCGACCTGTTCATTAACCGAGGAGCTCTGAAATACCTGACATACCTGTTCCAGCCTCCCGGGGCAGGATTGCTACTGGAAAATCCCCCCCTGGCCTGCCAGCCATAAATCTCTCAAGGTCAGCAGCGAAGGGAGAATCCTGACTGGAAGGACAGGGTAGCTATTTTTTTCCCCGGTTTATTACATGCCGGCTCGGCACCCCCCGCAAACCAAGTCTCCCTGCTGCTCCCTTAAATGCCACCC